CCCCTCTGCCGCCTTGGGTATGGGGGGAGGCTGGAGGGGGGACCCTGACATTAGGCTGAGATGCCCGACACCTTTTCCCAACCTCTCCCGCCTCGGGCTTGCAGCGGGGATGGTCCCGATGCTGTGAGAAGGATGGAGTGGGGATGTGTGTGTGTGTCTGGGGGGGGTTCGCTAAGTTTGGGGTGGTTGTAAAAGGGGTTTATGGGGTGCTGTAAGGCAGGGAAGGGCTGTGGGGGTGTCGCAGAGCACCTCTGGGTGCCTGTGGGGCACAGAGGGATGCAGGTCTCGCTGGGCTGGCAGAGAATGGGATGCGGGCTGCTCCCCCAGCCGTGGTGGTTGCCTTTGGCTTCTCTTTGGGGTGTGATGGGGCTTCAGGATCTCCCCTCGACTCCCACACACGCACACGCAGTTCCCATCCCGGTATGGGGTCTGGCACACCGCTCCTGCCTCGTTTTCCCTCATTTAGGGAGAAGGGGCTGCAAACATGAGTAGAAAACCCCTCTGCTTTACAGCCGGTCCTTCCCTGAGCCTGTCCACCTTCCCTGGCCAGCTATGGGGGCTCCAAGCCCCTGTCCCTGCACCCAGGGCTCTGCAACACCATCCCCAGCGTTATGAAAAGGGCTGGGAGCCCTGCTCCTGCCCTGACTGTGCCTTGTGCCTGTTCCTTTCTGGTTTTCCGTCCTCCACAGCAGGAGCAGCGCCCTGACCCCGCTGTAACACCCCGAGCGGCGTGTGGAGCCCCCCTGGGTTTTCCATACCCCTGAGCCCCTCCGAGACCCATCAGGCAGGATTGTCCTGCCTGCTCAGCCCTCTCTTTTGTCCCCTGCCTGGCTCAGCCCTGTGGCCACCCTGTCCCCTGGCAGTGCGGCTTGGCTGAGCTGGTGCAATTCCTCAGCACCCTCCAAGGGTAAAAACCTCCCCTGCTCTGCCCTGCCAACCTCCTTCCTCTTCCTCAGCGAGGTCTCGGGCACGGGAAGGACTGTGGGACCCAGGTTAATGAGTCATTAATTAATTAGGGACCCGCTTAATATGCACGGGGAGTTGTTTGTTTCCTTTAGCAGCCCGGACTTTGGATGAGATCCCAGCCCTGCGAAGCCTCCAGCCTCGTACTCCCAGCTGATAATAGATAATACAGATATTTCAGCACCAGCCAAAGCAGAGTCATCATCATTAATACAGAGCCCTCCCTGCTACGCGGCGGAGGTCACCAGGCAACTCCTCGGTGTGTCGGGGGCTCAGCCCCCCTGCCTTCCCTCGGGCTCTGCCTGGCCAGGTGAGAGGAAACCTATAGGAAATCAACAGGTAACGGGGCTGGGGAGGTGCTCCGTGCACCCCGAGCATCCCTGGCTCCCTCCCAGGGAGGCTTTCGAGGCGCTGCGATTTTCGCTCTGCCGCGCACGCAGGTTTGGGCATCTGTCAAAGTAGCTCCTCTCTTCCTCAGCCCCCTTCCTCCCCTCCTCCTCCTCCTCCTCCCTCAGCCATCAGCTGTCAGCTGGCCCTGGCAACTCGGCAGACCCAGTGCTGGAGCTGGGTTGAGCCTGAGCTTCGGAAAGCCCCAGCTCCAAAGGGATGGGGCGGACAGGGATGGAAGTGGGGTGTCTTTTTGCCCTCCCTCCCTTTGACCTTGCCTGGATGCTCCCCTCCCTCCCCACTCCTGCCTGTGCAGCTGATTCACAGGGCTTGTTTGCTTGGCCAGGGCAGGATCAGGGACACGAGTGTGAGTCACAGCCGAAGGTACCTGGCAGAGTTCGTCTGCAACCCGTGCCTTCGATTCGGGAACGGGTGCTTGCTGTCAGCCAGGACAGAAAAGTCCCTTTGAAACCTCTGCCCAATCCTCCTCGATCCCTCTTTTCCCCTCTTCCTCCCAGCCCTGGCAGAGCCATGGCTGAAACACCTCTCTGTGAAAGTCTGAAGATGCATCAGCAGCCACCCTCCATCGGCGAATGTCAGGCCGTGAAAGGCAAGGGGGCGGTGGGGGAAGAGGGAGAGACAAATTTTGCGATTCATTCCCACACAGGGTGATTCAGAACAAGATGCTTTGTAATTACGCATCCCTGATGGAGACTCCTTCACTCTCCACCCGCCCCCCCCTCCCAAAGAAAGGCTAAGCCATGCCTGGGTGCCAGCATCCCCCAGGAGCGCAGCGCCGGGAGCAGCCTGAGAGTGTGTCTGTGTGTCTGTGCCGCCCTCGGAGCTCTACAGAGGCTAAAGGTTAATTTTTTTCCCCCGGTGTGATGCGAAGTGCTGAGAAATGGCATTTGGGGGGGGCACATGAGCTCGTCCCCTCCCCAGCCGTAGCCTCCAGCCCTGGGTAGGTGCCACACAAGCAGCGAAGCAATCAGGGACCCCCCCACCCCGAGAGCTCTCCATGGAAAAGGGGGAAGGCAGGAAGCTGCGATGAGGGCAGATTCATGCCTGGGGCAGGCAGCTGCCTGTCCTTCCGAGACTTTGTTTGCCAACATTGCGGGCTGAGGAGTCCCGGACCCCAGGGCTGCCCGCGGAGGCACCGCGGCTTCACAGCTCAGCCCCGGCTGGCTCTGCAGCTCTCCTGTCGCGATCCCCCAGCTCCTCTCCCCTCGCCTGGCTGCCTTCTCCCCCCGCAAACAACCCAGTCCCCAGCTCCCTTCCCCAGGACACGTCTGCATTTCCCCCTCCGCATCCTGCAGACATTCAACATTTTTCCACCAGTGCTTGATGTTTGCCCACAGGACCTGCATGCACAGAAGTTAAAACTTCCCGTGTCAGGGAATGATCGGTCCAAATTGCGGAGTGGAAGGGACGAAAACATCCTCCGGGTGCTGTTTCCAGGGGCAAAAGCACAGGAGTGGGTTCCCACCGCTGCCCCCATCGCCGTCTCCCCTGGGGATGGAGACAGACCCCCCTGCGCTCCAGGCAAAGCGAGAAGTGGCGTTCCCCCTCTCCCTCCCCTCCGTGGAAGAAGGAAAGGTGGCCGGGAGCCCCTTACCTTGCCGAGCTCCCCAGGTTTTATATCCTCCTTCTTCCCTTCGTCAAATTCCAAATGGAAACCAGCAACATATCCAGGGGTAACCAGCCCAACATTGGGCAGCGCGTGAAGTCCAAAAGGATGGCAGAGCTCTCTCCCCCTCCGCTTCCTCCACTCTTGCCTCTACATATATATATACATACACATTTATATATATATATATATGTATATATTAAATGGAAAAGAGGAAAAAAAATACTAAAAGAAATGGGGGTGGGGAGGGAGAGGAAGGGAGAACCTTTGGTGTCTCTGCAGACAGGCAGGTAGAAGAGAAAAGCTGAAAATAATTAAGCCGTTTTTTGAGGAATCCTTAGGAGAGGGGAAAAACGCAGTTAAAAGCCAGTAAATCATTAGATCCAATCAGACAATCAAGTCTTCTCCTTTGGAAAAAAAAAAATATACAGCAAGGTTCAGAGTAGCTTTCCCAGCAGCGAGGAGCGAGAATGGTCTTCTTCAGAAAGATATGTTTGTTTAAAATCCACTCGTCTGCTTTTCCTTCTTTCCATTTAATATATACATATATATATATATATAAATGTGTATGTATATAT